GGTGGGGGGTGGGTGAAATTTGCGGTAATGGTTGTGGGGTGAGTGGGGGTGGGGGGCTATGTGGCCTTTTTGGGCTCTCTTCGTTTCTGGCTGTCTGAAAAAGGGTTGTGTGCCATAAGAAGAAGAGAGCTAAAACATTTTTTTCAACCGTTAAAACACGTTCACCATATGTTTTGGATTCAGAGTCCCGAGGGAATTGCTTTTAGCAGAGAGTATTTTATCCTTTAATATGTAATTTTTCTATGCAATCCAAATTTAGTCTCCAATATGTGACATGTCATCACAAATTCAAATTTAATCGAACTTTAATACGGATATGAAATATTGAAAGAAAAACAAATTTAAAAAAGAAGCTTCATAAAGGTTTTTTTTAGTTTTATTTTTATGCTATGGTATTCCAATCAATTTCCGCACATTTTGACTTGGTATGAAGTTAAAAAAATAAAAATAAAATTTTTTAATCTTGTGACCTTAAATTAAAGTTATATCAAATATATCAAAATGTTATTTAATCTTGTGGCCTTAAATATGACACGTGAAAAGTTAAAACTAAAATGTTGCTAAAAAGGAAAAATGGTCATTCTCTTTTTAAATGGAAGAAGTACTAGATAACTTTGTTCACTAAATTTAAGACAGATGAGAACAATCACGTGGTGTTTTTGGCTCTGTAGAATATAATAATAAATTAATTTCTCTAATTCAATAAATAATTTTGATGGTAGAATTAACTTTAGAGTTATATATATGTCGGGTATATGTTTGGGAGTATATTTTAACTAGACTAAAAACTCCAATTAGTAAGTTATTTTTTTATTTTTATAAAAAAATGAAAGTCATGTCTGGCTAAATATAAGTTATAATTCCATCTTTACAAGTTGGTGTAAAGTGTAAAATATTTAAAAGAAAATATTCATGTGGTTGGTGGAAAATTAATGGGGTTATTAGTTTTTTTTTTTTTAAGGACTTACGTGAATTGTCAATAATAGTTGGTGGAAAATGAATTATAAGTTAGGCATTTCCATTTGAGTAATGTTAGGTTATTTAATTCCTTATAGAGTTAAAATGATTTTCAATATCTTAGATAGATTGTCTAATCCTAATTAAAGCCTAAAACTAAAATTGATCTTAGATGTTTGATACGAGAACAACAAGTTGCATTTCAAATGTAGTGATAGTGTGTACGTAGATCTTATTACTATCTTGGGGAGACAGAGATGTTGTTTCGAAAGACCTCGACTCAAGTAACATACATCAAAACAGCTAATAAAACAAGGGAAAAAGGACAAATATACCCCTAAAAATCGTAAATGGTATGAGCAGGGGTGGTTCAACGTAATTGGGGGCTTAAAGCGAAATTTCAATTGAGGCCTAACAAATTTCATACATATTTATTTTTCTAACTATTTAGATGCAAATTATTACTTAATTTTTTTATAGATGATTTTTTCGAGTACTTCTTTTTATTTAAAATTATTAGTTTTAGATAAGATTTTATCAATTTAACGTTGAAAAATATTATTCTAATGAAGCAATCAGTATATGAATTGTTAACACAATTCTATAAGTAATAAGTGGAAAAACTTTAAGGGCATGTTTAGAAGGACACCCTGGTAATTGGATTTGGTGTAATTGATGTAATTACATTGTCTTGTCTTGTTTGGAAGGACATGTAATTACTTGGTCAGCAGGTAATTGGTGTAATTGGCAGGAGGTAATTACACTCTACAATTCACAGGCAGAGGCTGTGAATTGCTGGTAATTACCACCTGATTACTTTTTAATATCTTTTTTAATTTCTATTTTTATTTTTTTGTTTTAATTTTTTTTACTTCTATTATTTTAAGTTCTTTTTTATTTTTATTATTCTAAAAATTTGTAAAAGTTTATTTTTTATTTTATATTATTATATTTCATTTTCTTCT